TGTGTGTGTGTGTGTGTGTGCGTGAGAGAGAGAGATAGAGAGAGATGAAAGCCACAATAATACTATAGGGAGTATGAATTCAACCTATAAATATCACCAACTAAAAATAACTAATCCTAAATATTCTGTTCTTGACTCAATTGTTTATTTGATTAGATAAACAATCTAGTAAATGGAAATCTGTAAGCTTTTTCACCCAAGCCAAACTAAATTAATCTAACTTTTCAAATTCAGTATCAGAGATTAGTGAGAATGCTTGGCAACACCCATATCCACCTTATTCTTCAATGCGGAAGTAAGCCTATGGGCGAGACTTCCGGTTCATTAGCCACTATAGGGGAATAATGAGAAGAATAACAACGTGCAGTAAACGGTAAAACTATTTGCACTACAAACCAGCGTGTTCGTAATTAAGATGATACATTAATATAATATGGTAAGACACCAATCTGCAATATCAAGCAGCAAAACGTGCTGTTTTATACAGCTAAAAATAGCTGGACGCAGATGAGACCGAAAGACAGACACATAAAATTTACAAATGGCCGCATCCGCTCTAACAGGAAAAATAAGGTGGATAAATGCTTTGAAAAGAAAACATTATACACTGTAGCCTTACTGACAACATTAAGTTCAGGTGATTAAGGGATTGAACTATGCTTAGAAAAAATTATGTTCTCAATTATTTGTTTTAAGATTTCCAATAGGGATGGATGTTATGGTTAAAAACAGATAAATCACTGAGACTGAAATGGTATAGTATATGGTTTAAAGGAACACTCCACTATTTTTGAAAATAGGCTCATTTGACAACTCCCCTAGAGTTAAACAGTTGAGTTTTACCGTTTTCGAATCCATTCAGCCGATCTCCGGGTCTGGCGGTAGCACCTTTAGCTGTAGCTTAGCATAGATCATTGAATCTGATTAGACCGTTAGCATCTTGCTCAAAAATGACCAAAGAGTTTCTATATATATATATTCTATATATTTTCCTATTTAAAACTTGACTCTTCTGTAGTTACATCGTGTACTAAGACCGACGGAAAATGAAAAGTTGCGATTTTCTAGGCCGATATGGCTAGGAACTATACTCTCATTCCTGCGTAATAAATTATAATCAAGGAACTTTGCTGCCGTACCATGGGTGCAGCAGGCGCAATGATATTACGCAGTGCCTGAAAATAGGCTATTTTCCGTCAACATAACCAACGTGACCACCTGCTTGCACAGGGAGCGTGCTGGGGACTATTTTCAGGCGCTGCGTAATATCATTGCGCCTGCTGCACCCATGGTATGGCAGCAAGTTCCTTGATTATTACGCCGGAATGAGAGTATAGTTCCTAGCCATATCGGCCTAGAAAATCGCAACTTTTAATTTTCCGTCGGTCTTAGTACATGATGCAATTACAGAAGAGTCAAGTTTTAAATAGGAAAAATATAGAAACTCTTTGGTCATTTTTGAGTGAGATGCTAACGGTCTAATCAGATTCAATGATCTATGCTAAGTTACAGCTAAAAGTGCTACTGCCAGACCCGGAGATCAGCTGAATGGATTCGAAAACTGTAAAATTTAACTGTTTAACTCTAAGGGAGTTGGAAAACGAGCCTATTTTCAAAAATAGTGGAGTGTTCCTTTAAAACAGTCTTAGCATGGTGGCTAAGTTTATGCAACTGGCCCCTGACTTTTTGTACAAAGCGTTAACATGGTGAAACTGATTTGGATATTTTGATTAGAATGTTTGTGGTTGATAGTGGTTGATTAAATTTGACCTTGAAATGCTGAATGCTTCTTTGTTTTAATGTGATCTCCAACATTTGGACCCCCTTATATATAGTATTATATAACTGAGTCTGCTTAGTTATGCATTCAGTATGATGAATGGCTCATGGCAAAATTCAGCATGATTTATTCCATTGATATTTTGGCTTGGCTGATTGGCAGTAAAGTGCACAGTATTGACAGAGCAATCTAAGTGGGGTTGTCCTGGATAGAGTGCCAAGTTTATGGACATGTTCTGCTAGCATCAGCGCCACCAGTGGCCGAAGAGTATTAGATGCTCCTGTATTCCTGATTGAGTGCTACCAAACTAAAACACACAAGGTTTATGTCAGCAAACTGAAGGAACGAGTCAGGTGAACTGATGATTAGCTATACACAGTGGATCTAGGAGTTGCCATGAACTCCTACTGAAAGTCTGGTTTTGTTTTTTAAATATTTATTTGGAAACTCTCAAGGGCACCTGTTCCTATTAGTTCTTGCCTAATGCTTTTCCATTCACCAAGCTGTTTGAAGGGCTCCTGTGCATATTACCTATAACTGCTGGCTATCCTCATGGGATCTGAGATTATTGATGCATCACTAAACATCTCAAAAAGACTCTGTGCTAATGCTAAGTTCTGTCTGTTGTCTGTAATAAGAGTCTGCTTCTAAGTCTGCACATGAATAAGTTAGTTATGCTGTAGTATTTTTGGTCTTAACAAATTTATTTGGTATACAAGCAGCCAAATTAAAGTGGCCCCTATACCTGGTTATTAGTTCTTCAGTGTTAATTTTTGTGTTTTGTTTCTCCACTCTAGTAATCCTTTATGCATTGACAAAATGTCAACATTATTTACAGATGATCTAGATAATATTGTTTGTATTTCTGGTTCATATCATCATAAGTCCTCAAGTACACTGCAAACAAATCATGATGTTAGCAGAATTAATTTAGATAAATAAGTTGCATCAGTGAGAAAAACTTGTTAAATGACTAAAACACTTTTGCATTTACAATTAGTATACTAATTGGGTTCTACTAACAGTTTTGTAGACACTTTCTTTTTAGCTATGTGAAGGTAACTGAAGGCTAGAGAGTGTAAAGTAACCATTTTATTTTTTTATTTTCTTTATTTCAGATGTTTAAAACTAATTGGAATATTGGAATTATTTTTTTTTTAGTACTTAAACATTATTTCAGCAAGCTGGCAAGGCAACATTTCTCATTTATGTTTTTTTTTATCAAATATTTTATTTCAGTTAATGTTTATTTTGTTTCAAATAATGATTTTTTTTTTATGGTTTTAGTCTTAGTTTGACTTTAGTTGACGAAAATAACCCTCGTAACATGAATGAAACCTGTCATAATGTTTTGAAATTTAATACAGCTGTGATGCAATCTTAAAAAAAAAAAAAACGACTTACATTCGTTTTTGCAGGAAATTAAAAAGAATTCCCTAAATTCTTCTTGTCATGTGAGAGACTGATTGCTTTATTTTTATTATTCCTGGACCCTGAAAATAAGCTATATGTGCTATATTAGCCATCCATCCATTCACCTTGATTCTTGGGGCATGAGATAGTAATATTGCAATTCATTTTTTACTTAATTTGTTTGATGTTGTTCCACACTATAATTTTATGATGCATTATTTATACATACATTTAATTCCGTAAATAATGTTTTAAAATAACATTTATTACATTAGAGTTAATTGTGTAAGTGTATAAAAAAAGATATATTAATATTAAGCTATATTTATGTTTTTTTTTCTTCCTCTTAAAGCCAAACATTTAAAATGTTACACGTAATTTCAAATACTTCTTAAGCTAATTAAAAAAAAAAACAGCCAAGCAGAGAGCACAGCAGGTTATGGTGGCAAATGGTTTAGCAGCAGGTTAAGTATGTTTGCCAGTACAGACTGCTGTCAATGGAGGGACTCTGAGATGTTCTCTTGCCCCAGCAGGGATGTGAAGGCAGAAAGCGGACGCCAGCGACACCCCTCGGGTGGCATGAGTGCCAAGGAGATGGTGATCGGCCTGGAGGGTGTTGAATTGGGTGCAGATGGCAAGGTGAGTGTACACCTTGTTTCTTTAGTGTTATTAATTACAGATGTTTTACTTTTTTATTGCAAAATCTGTACAATCTCTGTTTTCACCTTCCTTTCTGTTTGTATATCAATTTTATGGCACCTTTTGTGGCTAGTCAAAATTTTCTCCAGTGTTACGAAAGAAAATCTTTAATCTCGATGAGCATTTGACTACAGTTTCTGTAAATGTCTACACAGACAGTGTCATACACACAGTTCCTGTATCCAACCAATGCACTGGGTCGTCGAAACACCATCGACTCCACGTCGTCTTTCTCTCAGTCTCGCAATGCCAGCCACCGGAGCCTCAGCCTGGCACGTGCCAACAGTAACCAGAGTAGCCTTGATACCGGTGCGTGTGCCAACAACTTGTCACGGCTCTTTCATTTAGCCTCAATCTCCCTAATACGTCCCGACAAGGGGCCACTTGTTTGGTTTTAATGAGCATTTTGGTTTAATAATGTTAATAGTGTTATTTATTAAGCAGACTTGAGCAAGGTCATAAACTTCTTGATACAAAATGCTTACCATACAATTGCTTTTCTGAATGTAGAACCTATATATTTATTAAGTAGTATATATGTTTTGAGTATTATGTGATCTCAGCACATGTAAAGTCTGTTTATTTGCCCTCTCTTTTCTCATAGGGAATGAACTAGGAGATTTCAGGGAGTACGACCCCAATCTTCTGGATGACCCGCAATGGCCATGTGGAAAGCACAAAAGAGTACTTATCTTTCCTTCATACATGGTGAGGTATCACGTAACACAATGCAAGACTTGACCGATTCACAAGTGATTTGTATTAAAGGGGTCATATGATTTTTCCTTTCTCTTTGGAGTGTTACAAGCTCTTGGTGCATAAAAAAGATCTGTAAAGTAGCAAAACTAAAGTCTCAAATCCAAAGAGATATTCTTTATAAAAGTTAAGAGTCAACCCGCCTACCTAAAACGACTCATTCTAACACGCCCCCACATGTCTACATCACGATGTGGGAAGATTTTCATAACACCGCCCAAAGAAAGAAGGCGTAACTTTTATTCTCGCTGT